CATGGTGGCACGCACCTGTAATCCCAGCTGCTCAGGAGGCTGAGGCAGGAGAATTGCCTGAACCAGGAGGCGGAGGCTGCGGTGAGTCGAGATTGCACCATTGCACTCCAGCCTGGGTAACAAGAACAAAACTCCATCTCAAAAAAAAACAAAAGGAGAAAGCTGGGACCAAAACATCCCATAGGAGACCTTCCCTCTTGTCTACTGAGAGGATGGACTAGGCCATGCCCTAACTGGGAGCTTAAGATAACTCAAAATAGAATCAAACAGTTACGGGGGGAAAAAGACCATTTAAAAAATTTTTTAAAACTAGGATCAGCTGGGTGCAGTGGCTCACAGCTGTAATCCCAGCACTTTGGGAGGCCAAGGCAGGTGGACCACCTGAGGTCAGGAGTTCAAGACCAGCCTGGCCAACATGGTGAACACGTCCATCTTTTACTCAGCATCATGAAGAGGAAGAGCCCACACGCCTCTCATATGGAAAGAGAAGCTAAAGGAACGTTTCTCCTTCGTCTCTTTGAGAACATGCAAGTCATCAAGCCCACTACAGTCCTCCTCGATTGGAGGAGAAAAGCAGCTCAGGTCAAAAGTGGCAGCAGGACAGAGCTACAATAAATAAAAAAGGACAGAAAGTGTGTCCGCCTTAGCCAATAACATTATGCATTATATGTTTCTTGTCGACAACCACATAAAGTAGTCATTATTGTCACCATATTTTAGATGATGAAGCTGGAACTCAAAATGGCTAAATAATTTGCTGAAAGTCACAGCCAGAGAAAAATGAGCTGAGATTCAAGACCACTTTTATTTTACTCCAAAGCCCATTTCTTACCCACACTATACAGCTCCCCCAATTCAGAGGGACTCTCATCTGAACCCTCTCAGGCCAGTCAAGCTGCAGAACAGGACATGGGCCGCAAGGGTTGGCATGGACCAGCTCTCAGAGAAAGACAGATGGAGACATGTGGTTAGCAGGACTTTCACCAGCAGCACAGAGATCAAAATGCAAGTGTTGGCCAGGTGCAGTGGCTCATGCCTGCAATCCCAGCACTTTGGGAGGACAAGGTGGGCAGATCACGAGGTCAGGAGATCGAGACCATCCTGTCTAACATGGTGAAATGCTGTCTCTACTAATAAGACAAAAAGAAAATTAGCCAGACATGGTGTCATGAACCTGTTGTCCCAGCTACTCAGGAGGCTGAGGCAGGAGAATCTTTTGAACTGGGAAGGTAAAGATTGCGGTGAGCCGAGATTGCGCCATTGCACTCCAGCCTGGACAACAGAGCCAGACTCCATTTCAAAAAAAAAAAATGCAAGTATTGAGCTCACAGTCACCTGAGAATCCCCACAAAACTGAAACCCTGGGTAAGAGGTCGAAGTGAAGAGTTAAAGCCCCTAGCTACAAGATCCTGGATAAGAGTCCATGCAATGGCTTCAACAGAGGAGAAGCATCATCAGGCAGTACAAGATCCAGGCTGGATTCAAGGCTTACACCAACTATGAAAAACAAGAGTAAAACTGAGTGTAGACCAGTGTGGATTGGGATCAGCATCACTGAATCTTTAAAAGAGAAGGATGTCCACAGAGCAGGAACACAGAACTGGCTCATTATCCCAGGACAGGGCAGTGCTGCCCTCTGTTCTTGCCTTAAATTGCATTTGAAATGTGGATGAATCCCATCAGGGCAGTGTGTTTAGCTCTCAAAGCAAGGCAAGGCTCTGTGTTGTGTTACAAGGCTCAGATGTGGTCCTCTGCAGAGACTTCAAAGTTCTGACAGAAATGATATAACTGGAAAGAGAGCTGATATAATGACCTGTGCCTTTCCCCAAATGGTTCCCCATTGATGTGCTGGCATTTGGGTGTATTTATGCAAATCCCAATTCCAGGCACCAGTGGTCTTGACCAGCAGTTGCCTCCACTGTCCATTCCTTAGCCTTCCTATGTTTTCCATTCAAACTCCAGGCTTCTCGATATCATCTTTTCCTGCCAACAGGATTTTATTTATACCCTGAATGCTTTCCACCAGCGATAATGCTGAACAATATCCTCTACTCAGTAGATTAGCCTCAAAAAGATACGTTACCAATAGTATCTTTTTATCCAAAGACGCACACCTGGAAGAACAAAGCAAGTTTTTGTTGTTGGTAGTGGGTTTTTCTGTTTGCTTCTGCAAACTTCGCCTCCCAAGTTCAAGCCATTCTTGTGCCTCAGCCTCCCAAGTAGCTGGGATTACAGGCATGCACCACCACGCCCAGCTAATGTTTAAATTTATTGTAGAGAAGGAGTTTCGCCATGTTGACCAGGGTGGTCTCAAACTCTTGGCCTCAAATGATCCACCCACCTTGTCTTTCCAAAGTGCTGGGTATTATTTTCCAGGAACTGTTTGTTCAAATGAGGAATAAAACTTGCTTTTTCAGACACCATACCTGATGGTTCCTCATCCGAACAGTTTCTGTGAAAATAATTTAATCTTGCTTTTTGGTTTATAAAATGTAACATTACCATTCTTGATTTCCTTATCTCCCTCTCTTTCTTTCTTCCTTCCTTTCTATTCCATCCTGTTTCTTTCTTTCCCTTCTCTTTCCCTTCCTTTCTCTTTCTTTCCTTCCTTCCCTCTCTCCTTCTCTCCCTACTTCCCTCCTTCTTCCTTCCTCCCTCCTTCCTTCCCCCTTCCTTATTTCTCTCCTTCCTTCCTTCCTTCCTTCCTTCCTTCCTTCCTTCCTTCCTTCCTTCTTTCCTTCCTTCCTTCCTTCCTTCCTTCCTTCCTTTTTTCCTTTTTCTGACAGGGTCTTGCTCTATCACCAGGCTGGAGTGCAGTGACACAATCATAGTTCACTGCAGCCTCAACCTCCTGGGCTCAAGCAATCCTCCTGCCTCAGACTCTATAGAGTAGCTGGAAACAGGCATATACCACCACACTCCCCTAATACAGATAGGATCTTGCCATGTTCTCCAGGCTGGTCTCAAACTCCTCAGCTCAAGCAATTGGCCCAACTTGACCTCCCAGAATGAAAAAAAGAAAAAACAAAAACATTACACTTAATTATTTAGGGTTTTTTTTGGGTTGTTTTTTGGTTTTTTGGTTTTTTTTTTTTTTTTTTTTTTTTTTTTTTTGCCAATCAGTTTGAGCTTTATGAAGTTGCTCAGGTTAGCCTTGAACTGATGACCTCACCTTCGCGAGCACCATGACCTCCAGCGGGAGCCACTTTGGACCCCCGGTTTTTTGGGTTTTTTAGAGATGGAGTCTCACTCTGTCACCTAGGCTGTCATGCGGTGGTGCAATCTCGCCTCACTGCAACCTCAAGCCTCCGGGTTCAAACAATTCTCCTGCCTCAGCCTCCTGAATAGCTGGGACCATAGGGGACACCACCACGCTCAGCTAATTTTTCTGCAGTTTTGGTAGAGATGGGGTTTCACCATGTTGGCCAGGCTACTCTTGAACTCTGGACTTCAAGTGATCCGGCTGCCTCAGCCTCCCAAAGTGCTGGGATTATAGGCATAAGCCACCACGCCCAGCTACCCTTCTTTCTTTCTTTCTTTTTCTTTTCTTTTTTTTTTTTTTGAGACAGAGTCTTGCTCTGTCTCCCAGGCTAGAGTGCAGTGGCACGATCTCAGCTCACTGCAACCTCCGCCTTCCGGGTTCAACAGTTCTCTGCCTCAGCCCTCTGAGTAGCTGGTATTACAGGCACTTGCCACCATGACTGGCTAATTTTTATATTTTTAGTAGAGACAGGGTTTCACCATCTTGGCCAGGCTGGTCTTGAACTCCTGACCTCGTGATCCACCCACCTCAGCCTTCCAAAGTGCTTGGATTACAGGCATGAGCCACCACACTCAGTCTCCACCCTTCTTTCTTTCTTTTTTTTTTGAACCCACCCTTCTTTCTTAAAGCAAACGTTTTTTGAAGCCAGAGCCCCTGCAGATGTATGATGCAGAGTTTATAGGCTCAGGGTGGAGTTTAGAGGCAGAGCTTACCTTTGAGTTATCTCTGTGCCCAACTCAGGACAAGGAAGTGAGTGTCCCAGAAACTCACTTACCTAACGTGAGCTTTTGAATGTATTATCAAGAATAATCATAATGTTTTGTGTTAAAGATTACATACTAACCATGTCTTTCACTTTTCTTCCTATATTTGACTATTACAACAATCAGGTCAATAAATGAATATGTGAGCTCTTTCTACCAATAAAGCATTATGCCTAACATTGTAAAGGACACATTACTCAGTCTCATTTATTGCTGACATAATTGCTAATACCTATTAAAAGTAAAAGAATCACATATCCTTGATCAGTAGTGGAATTTTCAGGAACTGATACTGCAGATGCATTACACAAAAGTATTCAAACAGCAGTCTTTGTAACAGCTGAAGACTAGTGCTATTGATAGTATTGGTTAAATAAATGAAGTTACAGCTTTTTATGAGATTATTTAAAAGAATGCAGGTGTTCTGCCTGTACTGGTTGGAAACTTTGCCAAGATATAATGTTAAATGGAAAAAAGAAAGATGCAGAAGCAGCTATATGGGATGTTGTTATTAGTCTTATGTATATTTTAAAAGATGCAAAAGAAGCTGATAACAATGGTTGTCTTCCAGAAGAAAACTGGACCTGTCTTTAAATGCCTTATATTTGGCTCATAGGCTTTTGATATTAATCCCAGGATATGATGGTCACATGGCTAAAATCACAGCTCTTATTATGTATTAAAGAGTCATTTTTATAATGAAAAGTAGTACAGGTTTTATGTCTATTCACATCTCTTTTATGTAATTTTGCATGTGGGATTTCCCAATTTACCTTCCAGTTTTCCACCCAATTGGCAACTTATCCAGTCTTTGAATAGCTTCCAGGTCTTTTCCATCTTGGGCAGAATCCAAGTAGACTCTGAAAGAAATCACTCCGTTGTTTTTTTGTGTATCATTTAAATATTGCCAAGAACAGTATCTTGAAAGTCAGCATGAATACATCTGTTCTTACACATTAAATAATGATGGGAAATAGACTGCCTGGGAGAAAATAAGACAGCAACTAAGGGAGAGCAAAAGGAAAGAAAGATGGTGGAAGTCCAAAGAGAACAAGAAAAATCAAGGGTTAAGTTAGCCGGAGTAAGAAGGATTATGTGTGGGCATTAAGAAACTCAAAACACCATTAAAATCTAGTTTTAAAATCTTACCGAGAGTGGAACCAGGGAGATTTGCCACTGCGGGGGGTTGGCTCTTACTTTGTTCGGCATTGCAAGGCATTCATCATAAAACGGGGTGCGAACATCCCATAGAGGGTGCAAATTTATCCACTGGGATACAAGATGAAAAATTATCATTTTTAATTGTATGTTTTCAGTTCACTTTGTGGATGTTTTATTATGGTATATAATCTATTCTTTTGGTAGGGTATGTTCAATACGTTGAAATATTGGCTGCTCAAACTTTCTTTATTGATAGGGGTGCATGATGAAAAGAGGTTTGGAGATCACTGAACCAGTGCTCCAGGCTAAGAATTAGAGAAAACAGATGGGAAGACATTTGCTTCTTTGGTGTCCAGGATTAGTGGAATGAAGGCGGAGGACTGTATGAGAATAAGACACTAGACATTTTAGGAAGCCCAGGACAGACTCTAAGCCAGATACAATTCTATGGTTTTATTGTAATTTAGTAAACTACATATATTTGTTTCCTTAAAAAAATCCATGTAACAGTAGCTTTTTTTCTACACTAAGCAGCCGAATACCACCCCGGTGGTAACTTGGGATTTAGGCACTGCAGAGAAAAGATCAAAGGGACAGGAGCTATAATTGAAATTTTAGCCCTAAAGGAAAAGGATCTTTAATCTCTAAAAGACCACAAATGAAGTTTGGCAGAAAACAGGGATAAAGTTCCAAGGCTTCTTTGGCATTTTATCATTCATTCAACCAAAAATTCTTATGGAGACACATTTATTTCTAGCAGGATGGAGTCACTGGTTTACTAGACTTGTCTTTCCACTATAAACAACTGAAAAAATAAGATATACAAAACAATGGGTTTTAGACGTTTGATAACAGGCTTTTTGGGACTTTGATCACAGCTAGAAGAGAATAAAATAAGGTTTGCTCACCATCTGAGCTTTCCAGCCCACAGCATCTACGGAGGGGATCAAACCAGAGAAGAGCAGCTGTCATGACATAAAGAAACAGACAGCAGCATTCAGGAACATTGAGGAAATGTTCTCATTGGTCGAGGCACCTGTAAAATGATAATATATAAAAATGTGTGAATTACTTGCTTTGACAAATAACAGCATAAATAACAAACAAAAAATATATATAAATACATATACATACCTGAATGTATTGCAGTAACAATTTCATTCTTACTCATGTGAATTCTAACATGCTGCTATGGCTTGAATATCACCTCCAAAATTCATGTTGCAACTTAATCCCCAAAACTGAGAGGTGTGGCCTTTAACAGGTGATTGGATCATGAGGGCTCAGCCTTCATGGATGGATTAATCATAGATTAATGGGTTCTCGTGGGAAGGGAACTGGTGGCTTTATAAGCAGAGGAAGAAAGATCTGGCTAGCACATTAGCACACTCAGTTCCCATGCCATGCGATGCCCTGTGCTGCCTCGGACTCTGTAGAGAATCCCCACCAGCAAGAAGACCTTCACTAGATGTGGCCCCTTGCCCTTAGACGTCTCAGTCTCTGCAACTGTAAGAAATACATTTTGTTTCTTTATAATTTACTGAGTTTCAAGTATTCTGTTATAAGCAACAGAAAAAGTCTAAGACAGCCAGGCACTGTGGCTCACGCCTGTAATCCCAGCACTTTGGGAGGCCGAGGCGGGCAGATCACGAGGTCAAGAGATTGAGACCATCCTGGCCAACATGGTGAAACCCTGTCTCTACTAAAAATACAAAAAGTAGCTAGGTGTGGTGGCATGTGCCTGTAGTTCCAGCTACTCAGGAGGCTGAGGCAAGAGAATTGCTTGAACCCAGGAGGCAGAGGTTGCAGTGAGCTGAGATTGAACCACTGCACTCCAGCCTGGTGACAGAGTGAGACTCCATATCAAAAAAAAACGGACTGAGACATATGCTTTCTGAAATGAGCATATGTCTATATGAGATAAAACGATTATACCCTTATTCATGTGTTTGTCATACATGTAAATGTCATTATATGTGTTGTGAAAAAGGTGTTCCAAAATTTAGATGATTTTTAATTACAATAAGTTATCTTGTGGATACATAGCAACAGTGAATTCTTTGATTAAGTCATAGGGATGTGCCCTCTGCTTTAACTCCAAAGAGTGTGTTGAAGTCAGACACACATTATTAATAACAATAGGAATAACGCAGCTGTGATTCATCAATTTCATTACATACTGAGTACTTATTATATAAGGTGGCAATTAATCTTCACGAGAACGCTGTGAAATGTATTAGAATCACTATTCATAGTTTGCAGTGAAGAAATTGAGGTTCTTAAAGGCTAAATGACTTGCCCATGATTATTGTAGAGAATTGGATCCCAAATCTGATTCCAAAGCTTATATACTTAGCCCTTATACAATATTGTCTTTCAAATCATAATCAGATGGCTGTTTGGGGAATGTGGAATCAGAACCAGGAGAGTGAGATGAATCAAATGAGAGTTGGTGGATCAGTTAAAATACAGCATTGGAAGAAACAACCCCCGGTGTTTAAGGAACAATCAAGAAGGAACCATGATTGTTGGAAGGGCCAAAGGAGCAGGGGTCAAGGGGCTGCCACTGGACCTACCATGTCCCAGAGACTAGGAGATCATAAAGCTGGGATAGGAGCTGCTGCTCCTACTTCCATAGCTGCCTCTCAAAACCCATGAAGCTGGAAACTAGATGCAAGAACACTGAGTTATCGCTTTCACTTCCTGATACATTCCCACGACTTGCTTCCCAGGATAAACAATGTCAGAAGGATGGCCTCCACCTCACCAGTTTCTCACGAGTATATCTAATTCAAGGAACTCACTCATGTTTAGAACCCTACCTGCAAGGGAATCTGGGAAATACGGCTTTCAGCATTCTAGAACCTCCAGCACAGAAAATCATAGAGAAGGAGTTAGGAATAAATGTCAATCCAATACAACTAGCATCAGACTAAGACAGCCTGTGCTCATCTCACAGCAAACCTGAGCAGCAGTACGAGTACCATCTGTAAGCTCCTGCTAAGTTATAAGCCCTACAAGGACAAGAATCATTTGTCTTCTTATCAGTGAAATTCCCAGAGCCTAATATAGATCCAACACAAAATAAATGTCTCTTGAGTGAAAAACTACAGAAAGGTCTTGTACAGAGTGGCTAAGATGATGTCTTTTGCTGTCAGAAGTATCTGGATTCTGCCTGACACGGCGGCTCACATCTGTAATCCCAGCTCTTTGGGATTGCTAAGGCGGGCAGGTCATGAGATCAAGAGTTCAAGACCAGCCTGTCCAACATGGTGAAATTCATTCTCTATTAAAATACAGAAATTAGGTGGGCATGGTGGTGTGTGTCTGTAATCCCAGCTACTCAGGAGGCTGAGGCCAGAGAAATGCTTGAACCAGGACCTGGGAGGTGGTTGCAGTGAGCTGAGATCACACCACTGTACTCCAGCCTGAGCTAGATGAAACTCCATCTGAAAAAAATACATATGTAAGGATTCAACTGCTGGTAAGTCTCTTTATCTGCAAACTAGATAAAAATAGTTGCTGTCTGAATTTTTGTGAGAATTCAATAAAATAATGCATGTAAAGCACTTACTGCAGTGCTCAGAGCACATAGAATTCACTAGTGTTTGTTGCTATTATTAACTGTCATTACCAAACTTTGGTGTCACTTCAAACACCAAAACATTTTATATGAGGGAAATGTGCCTTCAAACCACAATTCTTTAAATACTTAGGAGCCTGAATATTTTCTGTATTATATTGGCCACTGGGATTTTTGTGCATGTGCGATTTGCTTATTCATTTACCTAGGAAAAAATCTTCTGGATATTGGCCTAGACAAAGAATTTATGGTGAAGACCCAAACAGCAAATGCAACAAAAAGAAAAATAGACAAACTGCACTTCATTCAACTAAACTTCACACAGCAAAAGAAATAATCAACAGAATAAATAGACAACCTGTAGAATGGGAGAAAATACTTGCAAATTATGTTGCTGACCACGAAGTAATATCCAGATCGTGTCTACAAGGAACAATTCAATAAGAAAAAACACTAAAAACTGGGCAAAAGACATGAACAGACATTTCTCAAAAGAAGAAATACAGGCAGCCAAAAAACACATTAAAAAATGTTCAACATCACTAGTCATCAGAGAAATGCAGGCAGCCAAATTAAAACCACAATGAGATATCATCTTACACTAGTCAAAATAGCTGTTATTAAAAGTCAAAAACAGCAGATGTTGGTGTGCATGTGAAGAAAAAGGACTGCTTCACCGCACGTGGTGGCTCAGGCTTGTAATTCCAGCACTTTGGGAGACCAACGTGGGTGGACCACTTGAGGTCAGGATTTCGAGACCAGCCTGATCAACACAGTGAAACCCCCTCTCTACTAAAAATACATAATTAGCTGGGCATGGTGGTGCATGCCTGTAATCCAAGCTACTTGGGAGGCTGAGGCAGGAGAACCACTTGGACCCAGGAGGAGGAGGTTGTGGTGAGCCGAGATTGTGCCATTGCACTCCAGCCTGGGCAACAAGAGCAAAACTCTACCACAAAAAAAGAAAAAGAAGAAAAGAAAAGAAGAGAGAATGCTTATACACTGTTAGAAGAAATGTGAATGAGTTCACCCTCTATAGAAAACAGTGTAGAGATTTCTCAAAGAACTAAAAAATAACTGCCATTTGACCTAGCAATGCTATTACTGGGTATCTACCCAAAGGAAAAGAAACCATTCCATAAGAAAGACTCGGCACTCATATGTTCATTGCCGCACTATTCCCAATAGCAAAGTCAGGGAACTCACCTAAGTGTCCATCAATGGTTGACTAAATTTTTTTAATGTGGTATATAGGCACCGTGGAATACTATGCGGCCATAAGAAATAATGAAATCATGCCCTTTGCAGCAACAGGGATGGAGCTGGGGGACATTTTTCTACGTAAACTAACTCAGAAACATAAAATTAAATACTGCATGTTTCCACTTATAAATGGGAGGTAAACAAGGGATACATGTGGACATACAGAGGGAAATAATGGACACTGGGGACTGCAAAAGGGGGCAAGGGTGGGAGGGGGCAATTGTTGAAAAATTACCCATCAGATACAGTGTTGACTGCTTGAGTAACAGGCACATTGGAAGCCCAGTCCCTGCCATTACACAACATATCCATGTAACAGACATGCACCGGTACCCCTTGACTCTAAAATAAAGTAAAATAAAAAAAAAAATCTTCCGCAAAGCACTAAAAACCTTTAACTCAAAAATTTTTTTAGGCCAGGCACAGTGGCTCATGCCTGTAATCCCAGCACTTTAGGAGGCCAAAGTGGGAAGATTATTTAAGGCCAGGAGTTTGAGACCAGCCTGGGCAATGTAGTGAGAGAGACCCTGTTTCTACAAATATACATATACTTTTTGCTGTTGTTGTTAGCCAGGCATGGCGGCACGTGCCTGTGGTCTCAGCTACTCAGGAGGCTGAGGTGGGAGGAGCACTTGAGCTTGGGAGGTTGAGGCTGCAGTGAGACGTGATCATGCCTCAGCACTCCAGCCTGGACGTTGCAAGACCCTGTTTCAAAAATACCCATTTTTAAAGTTAACTTGTTTACCAGTGTAGAAATGCTAGATAGAATGTCTATATAATTGTTGCGAAGGCTGGGTGCAGTGGCTCAAGCCTGAATTCCCAGCACTTTGGGAGGCTGACAAGGTCAGGAGTTTGAGATCAGCCCGGCCAACATGATGAAACCTCGTCTCCACTAAAAATACAAAAAATTAGCTGGACACAGTGGCATGAGCCTGTAATCACAGCTACTTGGGAGGCTGAGGCAGGAGAATTGCTTGAACCCAGGAAGCAGAGGTTGCAGCGAGCCAAGATCACACCATTGCACTCCAGTCTGGGTGACAGGCTGAGACTCTCAAAGAAAAAAAAAAAAACTTCATTGCCAAAACAGGACATTTTTGAGAATAAAAGGGGTCATATAAATAATTATGCTGCAACAAGAGGGATATAAACCAGGACTACGGTCACCTACTTACTGGAAGCTTTCTCAAATATACAGTGTGAAATAATGTTACAAGTCCCTTGGAAAGGTGTCTCAATTGGTGCTATGTGCTAGATATCTGGTCACCATCTGACACCACCGTGTCCCTGATTGCCACTCCCCTGAACCTCCTTAAACTGTGCTTAGAGAAGAGTTATATGAGACATATAATGGGAAGAGGGGCACGGGTATCTACGATTTCCTTTGGTTTTAGAAAAAAATAGCTGTGAGTATACAGAGGAGTTGTTTTCATTTGCTGTTTCCCTTAGCGACACCCCTCCAGGTTGGTCTCCCACCCATGGGCAGCTTTGAATGAAATCAGTGGTGACCAAAACTGTTTGGATATGGGCAGAGCTGCTCGGATATTCACTGGATCTTTCTGCAGAT